GGAGATCGTAAACATCAAACTAATGACAACCCAAGGAACCAACACATACAAACTCTAATGCTGAAAATAATTAAGATAACTATACATGCATAATCTATAACACACAGATCGTATATTATAAAAATAGCTTGATATTGACTCGCATATTAGCGTACCTGATTAAGCACATTTGTAGAAGTTTCATATTCAGCAGCCAAAAATACAAAGACCTGAAATTCAAAGAAATTGGTTGCCACATCCAAATGAGCTTCGATGGCAATAAGAAGCTTGAAATTTAGAGATAAAAGCCAACTATATCTATAGAGACGAGAGGGCACTTAATATTTTTCATCTCTCTGCTCACCTACATATTTGACCCCACAAATAAGTACCACAGCATACATCCTTCAGGTACTAGTTGAAGTACAGGAAGCTATAGCAAAATTTGGCTACCCTCAAAGTTTTGTTAAACAGACTCGCTTAATTAAAATCCATCAGTGATCAATCATCAATTTATTAGCAAACATAAAAGGTTTTGACAGCTTTGCAAAAGATAATAATTTAACGATGATGATTGCATCTTAAACTCGGCTACTAACAACCAAATTCAACCTTATAAACTCATGTAATGTACAAAATTTAAAAGCAAAACCAACAAAATCCACAAATAAATATAAAAATATCAGTCAAACATAAATCACCAAAAGCAAAGAGAAGATATCTACGGGATAAAAATGAGAATATTCTATGAAGGACAAACCTGCTTTGTATTCCACGTAAATAGCGAATCTAAGTTTGCTGATATGTTCAATGTCAAGCTCACCTGCATATTGTAAAGACCGTCATTAAAACACCATGCCAATCACCTTATATTTACTGTTTCTTATAAGGGGCCACAAGAAGTTGGAAGCTCAACAGCTAACTTGGTATAATGTTCACATCACCATGGGAAATAAATAAAAGAACATTTGTTCAAAGGGATTTCAAATTGATACCAAGCTTAGACTTCTAGTTATCATCCTAGAATAGAAAAGGAGAAAATGGGAAGAGGAAAGCCAAAGGAACATAGAGTGGAGGAGAGCGAATAACTTTTTATAGCGCTACAAGGCGGGGCCGAACTACGTGAATAGGATCAAATGAATGAATTACCTCATCATCACCATCGGGTTTCTTCTGGAACCAATTAATGTTCAACACCTAAAACCCATAAATATTGGGTTAAACAAACACTAAACCACACCAGAACTATCTAAAGGGAAACAATGTCTGGATTTTAATAGGAATAAGAGTTTACTTGGACTTGTGAGGTGGGAGATGGCGTATTGAAGTTGTCGGAGAAAGAGGCCATGGCACACATCAGTGCGAGAATAGTGATGGCGAAGGTGAGCACGGCATTGGCTCTGTACCCGAACGAATGCATTGTTGTGCCCTGAAAAAATACAGTCAGTCAGTCATTACCATCACCTGATAATACATTCACCATACATGACCTTACCTATCATCTTCATCTCTAAAAGCATAACATAATCTGCAGTCTTCAACTCCATTAATGCTCGACTCACAATTATGAACGAGCCTTTTCAAAATCCTTACCTTTATTAGATGAGATTTCGAGAATTAACACGAAATCGATCCAAACGTGCCCTTCTCCCCTGCGTCTCTACACTTCCGGAGCAATTTTGCGTGGTTCGAAGTTCCAACTTAGCTATTGGGCGATTAGGGTTTGGTGTGGAGGCGCACGGATATATGAATTGAGAAAGAGGAGCAGTGTAGCGAATGAGCTGTTTGGGGGATCATAAGATATGAATCCAATCGTGAGCGGATATATTAAAATAATATTTAAATTAAAATAATTAAAGTTGATTTGACGTAAAGTAAGATAAAATGATTCGAAGTGATATTTAGTTAAAATTATGTGAGTGGATGAATAGTGAATTCAAATTGATGTGATGTGTAATAATGATTGGTTGATATTATTTAATTATATTAATAATATTAAAAATTCTGGAATTGACTTAAATTTGAGTTTTGAGTGGAATATTAATGTAGAAATCATATACAATCAGGCCCTGGCTTTTTTATATTTTATTTTCTTTTTGTTTTTTAATAACTGACGGGTTGGGCTAGCACGCTTTGCCTTGGCCCGCGCGGGCTGGCCCGTTTAGACCCGCTCCCAGCGGGCCTAGAAAATCTCGACTGAACCCGCTCCTTTTGCGGAGCAGACCGACCTGCGGGCTACGGGCTTTTTTGACAGCTCTACATTAAGCATATTACCAAACACTTTTAGCATATAAGCTAGCTTTTCAGCTATAAGTCATAAGCTATAGGGTATGTTTGGTAAGCCAAATAAGCTAGTTTTTAGCTTATTTGGTTAGCTTATAAGCTCCCTGTTTAAAATAAGCCTCGTTTGGTAGGACGAGTTTTTTTAAAAAGCTCGAGCTTATTTCATAAGCTACTTTAGGTAGCTTTTCAAATAAGCTAGTTGAATTTTTTTTATTTCAGCTAGCTTATCAGCTAATTTACCAAACACCTTTTATCATATAAGCTAGCTTTTCAGCTATAAGTCATAAGTTATAAGCTATAAGCTCAAAACTTACATATAAGCTATAAGCTAGTTTATCAGCTATCAGCTAGCTTATCAGCTAATTTTACCAAACATAGCTATAAGCTATAAGCTCAAAAATTACATATAAGCTATAAGCTAGCTTATCAGCTATCAGCTAGCTTATCAGCTAGTTTTACCAAACATAGCCCAAATGGGGCTTATTTGAATACATGAAGCTTATAAGCTAACCAAATAAGCTATAAGCTAGCTTATTTGGTTTACCAAACATAGCCATTTGGTAGGACGAGCTTATTTGATAAGCTTGTTTAGGTAGCTTTTCAAATAAGCTAGTTGAATTTTTTTATTTCAGCTAGCTTATCAGCTAATTTTACCAAACACTTTTATTATATAAGCTAGCTTTTCAGCTATAAGCCATAAACTATAAGCTATAAGCTCGAAAATTACATATAAGCTATAAGCTAGCTTATCAGCTTTCAGCTAACTTATCAGCTAGTTTTACCAAACATAGTCATACTCAATAGAAAAATAAAAGTAATGTAAGTCTAGGCACGTGGAGATTGCTCATTTAAGTATATACTATTATGGTGTTCATGCGATGCACGAATTAGTTTTATTAAAGTATGCATTTAATTTTTGATGATTGAATGATTTGAACAACGTAAAACGCATATATTGGAATAAAACAAAATGTAATTATTAAACACATCCTTGTATACAACATGCATACGCTAGATCATAGTTGACCATTTGTGGTCGTCCGATCAAAAGTTCATCGGATATGGGCCAAAAAAAATGGTGTATAACGGGCCTAGAACTGGGCTTAGTTATGGTTGTGATTTTTTTATTTTTTTTAATGGGCTTCTACGTTTTGGGCCAATATAAATAATAAAATGGCCGATTTAAATTGATATGCACACTGACACTTGTATATCTAAGCAATACCATATTAGTGTGTTTATCTAATTAAAATAATATGTAAATTTAAATACAAAAAACTTTTATTATTTTTTCAAAAAAAAAAAAAAAAGATGTCTCATCAATCTACAATTGTACGTGATGCACAAAATAAATTTTACAATACACGTGATACAGACTTCACAAAGGATGTTATTATCGATTAATCGAGGCAAAGCTTCGAATATCGTGAGTGGCTACCAAAAAAAAAAAGGATGTTATTATCGATTATCACAGAGGTAAATAATTTATTACCTATTGTACACAATTAATTTTGCTTAAACATGAATTGATTATTATATTTGTTTGTTACTTTGTTGTATGTTTTATTGTAGTTTTTGGAACTACCGACTCATGTACGTCGGCGAAAAATATCTTTCCAGTATTTGGAGTAAGCTTCTTTTTTTTTTAATGTCATATGTAAGTATTTTATATAAGTAGCACTTATGATTTAATTATAACTATTTTTGTTTTTATTTAATTCCAACTTTCAAAGATTATACAATCATCCTATGCTCCGAGATCAAATTTGACTGCTCAACAAAACACCAAATTTTCTGCAAAAACGAGTCTGGAGAAGAAATGATCGTAAGCGATGATGAACCTGAATTAACACTACAAAATAAATGTTATATTCCAACGGAAAATCCTACGGTAATATATTCCAATGGAAATTCCAACGGATATTCCAATTGAATAGCTTCCGTTGGAATAGTTCCAACAGAAATTCCAACGGAAATATTCCGTTGGAATGTGTTTTTCATTGAAATTTTAGATGGAATTTGATGATTCCAACGGCTATAATTCCAACGGCTTTTTACCGTAGGAATTTTCGTTGGAATATGCAAATTCCGTTGGAATATTTTTTCCACCCCTATTGGAAAATCCACCGTTGGAATCGTCAAAATCCAACAAAAATTCCAATGGAAAACCCATTCCAACGGAATATTTTCATTGGAATTTCCGTTGGAATCCATTGAAAAATTCTAACGGAAATAATAGTATTGAAATATCCGTTGGAATTGCCGTTGGAATAATTATTTGAAATATATTTCCGTTGGAATTTCATCATTTTTTTGTAGTGTAAGAAGATGTAGTAATAATACTAATGGTGCTCTATGTAATTATCCTATTTCAGAGATTTTTTTTTATGAAAATAATTTATTTTAATTTTTACACCATCATTGTGAAATTGTCTTCAATGTCATTTTAATAGCAATCAATAAAATTTAGATATCAATGAACTAACATGTTAAGCCACGAGAAAAAAGGAAGGATATAACTAAAGCACAAATTTATAAAGTTGATTAGTCGGTTAACTTTAGTGCGTGAAAAACTTATACTAGTTGCATCGTATTGTATGTTTTTGTTGTTAGTTTATGCATTTTAAGTGATTTATTTGTGTTCATTTTAGTCATTTTTTTGGGGTTTTTCTAGGTCTATTTAGTTATTTTTGCTCGTTTGTATTTTCATGTCGTTTTAGTATTTTATGCATTTTTTTCCCTTTTTATATTTTATTTTGTAGGAAAATACTTTTCTAAATTATGTTTAACGTTGTCGGAAAATCATTGAGAAATGGAAGTAAAAGTGTCGAGAAAGTTACCGAAAAGTTCTCCGCTGGTCGGCCCGATCAGCGCCCAGTGGAACCGAGTCATCCCGCAGCCGATGCCCGCACATAGGCCCAGGC